TCATACGTTCTATCTTTTGCCCGTCAAAAATGCGATTCTTCAAGAGCCCTCTCAATATACTTGATCTAGGCGCCACGCTCTCTTTCTACGCTGACGCCATCATGGTTCGATTTGTCGAGGACGAGCCGAAGGATGTTGTCGAGTTCTTATCAATGATTCGTATTTTCCGGCTTTTTAAATTAACGCAACATCATCAAGGATTACAAATTCTGATTCATACCTTCCGTGCAAGTGCAAAAGAATTGATACTTTTGGTGTTTTTTCTTATACTGGGCATCGTCATATTTGCTGCACTGGTGTACTATGCCGAGAAGATGGAAGCTAACCCCAACAATCAGTTCCAGTCAATCCCGTTAGGTTTATGGTGGGCTATATGTACAATGACTACAGTAGGATATGGTGATATGACACCTCACACATCATTTGGAAGGCTGGTAGGATCGCTTTGTGCCGTTATGGGAGTCCTCACAATTGCTCTCCCAGTTCCAGTGAGCTATTTTGGGCAGAAAATATATCAAAGTAGTTAAAAACATCAAATGTTCAGGTGATCGTCTCTAACTTCGCCATGTTTTACTCCCACAATCAAGCACGTGACAAACTACCAAAACGGAGGCGACGAGTACTTCCCGTTGAACAGGTGACTCTTTACTTTTGCAGGGTTTTTGTAAAGGTCAGTTTTGTTTTCAGATTCGATTACAAGCTCGTCGTCATGCAGCGGTTTTAGAGCCATCCGGGTCGCAAGGAGGACTAGGAGGATCGGCGATTCGAAGGAAGAATATGCCAATACTTATAAGTGAGAGACACGAGAAATTTTTATAGAAAAAAAATAAAATTCTTTTCAGACCAAAACTGTTGCGGTGACGAGGAGAATCATAATCATAAGCATCGAGAGAAATCGGAAAATTCGGGTAAATGAGCGTAAAATTAGAAAATTACACTTTCAGCTTAACTATCTCGATTCCTACAAAAGATATCAATATTTTGTCAACTGATAAAAGGATTGTCACAACGTCTTAAATGTTTTATTAATTGGCAAATTTTCAATATCTCTCATTTAAATCAAAATTATTGAGCTCAAAGTGCAAGACTATATATCCAAAGCCTCCGATAGAACAAGATCTTATACCACTTTGAGCTCATGTATCTCGATTTCTAAACAAGCTATCAAAACTTTGCATACTGTTAAGATGTTTTTCATCTTATTAACAACATCTAATCAATTGACGTATTTTCCTTATCTTGCAAAAGAGCCGATATAAATTAGCTCAACATTGTCAGAGTTTGTTTCATTACAGCTTTCATATCAGTTGACAAAATTTAGATTTCTCTAATAACAATTAAGATAATTGAGCTCAAAGTACAAGGTGGCATTCTATCTGAGAATTTTTTTGTAAATTGAATGAATTGAAAATTTGACCTCAGTTTTTTTTTTCCGACTTCCAATGGCTCAGAATTTTAGATGAAGGCACAAACAGCTCCAGTACGGCTGGCGTGGACACGGTCGTAAAATTGGGGCCAAGTGAAACGGCTATTACAACGACTGTTTTAAATTGATTTTCATTTTATATGTAGCCCCGTCTCCTACCGTAACCCAGGTCATCCTTTAAATATTTCATATTTTTAACTTGCTCCTAAATTCTTTTTTCCTATCACCTTCATTGTAATCCCGCGCTTTTCCTTCATTTTTTGAAATGCAAAAAAAACTTATCTGAACAAACTGAAATTTTCTTTCTTTATCTACTTCTATTACTACACTTGACATTATCCTCTAAACTACAGAAGTCAATTCGGAATCTCACCTGTTTTTAAATTTTTTGAGTCGCCCCAAGTCTTCTTGAAATTTTTTCATAATTGTTCTATTGTAAATTTCCCAATAATTTTGATTTTATTTATGATTTGAATTTAAAAAAATAAATAGAAAAATAAATAGAAACACAGTCTTTTAGGAGAAGATTGAAAAATCACAACGGGGGTCATTATGTTTTTGGAGATTTCATGGTCATTTTTACAGGAGTGGCACTTTTACAGTCTGGGAGAAATGGGGCAAGAAAATGAGGGAGAGAGATGAAGAGAGTCAATTAATGTCCGATTGGATTTTTACGACGGCACTTCATTAGAGCATCAATGACATAGACGAGAAGGGTAAAGGTGGTAGAAATCTGAAAATGATCTCGTGTACTTTTAAGAAGAGGTAGCATACCAATGGAATGGTGAATGCTTTAGCATACGGGCTGTTTTCATAATCCACCACCAGTGTAATATAGGCTACCGAGTACAAGAATGTCTGGAGATAGACCAAGTAGCGCTCCTGTAACTCGATTATTTTAAAGTAAAAAAGGTTTCGAAAATCTCCCACTAAAAGGTATGGATTGGTCTTGTAGAATGCGTCATAGGCGCCGGCGACGTTTGCGATAATCAGAGAAATAGTGAGAAACATGCAGAATCCATTGAAAACAGCCAATTGGAACACTTGGGAAGAAGTGAAGTATCTGAAACAGAAAACAAGATTAGTATGAATAATTTTGAATTTGTTTACCTCTCTCCGCAGTAGAGAAAATGTGGGTTTGGATAGCACCAGTAGTTGGTGAGGAATGTGATGAAACCAAATACCTGAGAGAGGAGAAGTGAATATTTACACTTGGAAATTCATTCTGTGAGGTATTTTTTATGGAACTTGTTTTTGGATGTTAAAGGAGGAGGAACCGGAGAATTCAGAAGTTGCTTTTTTGTGTGTTTTTTGATTTTCGGAAATTTCTCAACATTCTTTAAATGATTTCAGAGAACGCCACCTAAAATATTAGCCTTGAGCTAATTTATCTCGTTTCCTGAAAGAGATATCGAAAATTTGTCAACCAGAAAAATGTTTGTAATAATGTCGTCAACGTTTCATCTGTAAACATATTTTCAATACTTTGTGCAGAAACTGAGGCAATTGAGCTTGAAGGGCGCATATGGGGTGGGTTTTTATAACATCATTTTTAAGCGTCTACATATTGAAGCGTTTACGGCAAACGTCCAAAAACATTGCCAATTTAAAGACACACATTTACATTAAATTTGTTCAACACATAAATTTTAGAAATTGTTAATTCGTTAATGGTAATTGGTTTTTTTTAAATGTTATAGAATTTTAATAATCATTTTCAAAATTTAGTTCATGCAGAAATTGTAAATGAGGGTCCAAAACGTAGTCCTAGTATTAGTCTGTTCCAAAATACGTTATTTGTCTTATAAGAAGCCCATTTGTGCATTCATTACCTCGAGCTCCTTCAAATGATTAAAACATATCAAATGATGAATTATTTATCATAATATTACCAATATTTCATCAGCGAAAAAAGTTTTGATATCTCTAATGGGAAATGAGATAATTGAGCTCAAATTTGACAAAGCTCCCCTCTCAGCTGCGACTGTCGTCTTTTGGGCGAAATTAGGGGCATCGCCGTCTTTTGGGCAAACATGGGTGCCTTTTGGGCGCAGTTAGCGCCGCCACCTTTTGAGCAAGCTTCGGCGCCTTCTGGGCGAAAAAATAATTTTTAGGCGAACCCAAGACGAAGGAAGAACCTGTTAGGCGAACCCAAGGCGAAGCCAGCCAGCTTTGGCTTTTGCTTTTGCCACCTTTTGAACGCTGATTGGGCACCTTCTGGGAAACTCCCTAGCGGAATCTGGCCAACCAGCGCCCAAAAGAAGACAGTCGCAGCCGAGTTATTACAGGTTTTACATTAAATTGAATTTTAAAGCCTTGACAAAGGAAGTACCCCAAGTGTCACTTCACGTTTTCTTAGATATCGGTGGCAAAAAATGTCCCTTTTTTAGACTGGCAAAAAACGGATAAGGTGTCCATAGGCAGGTTGTGAAAAAAATATTTTAAAGTCAATTCAATTGCTCACTTATAACATGTGAATTTTTTTTTCGAAAATTTTGGCTTCTTGATCACGATTTGACAATTTTCTGCCAAAAAAAAAACAAGAAAAAACTGATTCTTCGATTCTCAGAGCTTTTATGTTGTATATGGAAAAATGAGTTTGAAACATAGCTGCCCCTTTAAAGCTATTTATGATTTTTTGAATGGACTTGATACACTTTTTCTGAAAAATCATAAACATTTTTGTCATTCTGCTGTACCTGCGGATGGTCCGCTTATATTATTTAGTTTGTTTTAGTCCAAAGAAGACACATTTTTTGCTACCAATATCTAAGAAAAAGCGAGGGGACACTTCGGGTACTTCCATTGTGGGTTTTGAATTGATGACTAGTTGATGATAACTTTAGCTTTTCAAGAAAATATCAATTTTTAAATAATATCACGAATTCAGGTTTTGAGGACAGTGTTTCATAAATAGTGGTCGAAAACGTGGTCACAAAAATACTTTCACCTAAAAAATCAAACTTGTGACAAACCCCTCATTTCTCAAAAATCCACCTCTCTCATAAAAACCTAAAACTCACCAACTGCAAAATCTTCAACCAGTTCTCCTTTCTCTCGAAGAACGCTCGATTGAACATTAATGGTGGTCCATCGGTCATTTTCGTAACGTTCCTTTTCTTGTTTTTGTTCCCAACGACTCTTTATTCTTTCTTCTTCTCAAAAAGGTTGTAATGACGAAATTGGGTTGGGGGAGAGGTTGTGCCTGAGAGTACACCAATGAAGAAAAACAAGCGATGAAAAGAAGGAAGAGTGAGCTTCAGAAAAACAAGTAGCAAAAGAGAGAAAACGAAAACGGACAGGAGGATGTGTGATGGGTGGCAGCCGGAAAAGGAGGCGCTTCTTTTCTCGTTGAAAGGAAGGATGAAATGAAAATTTTAATTGAGAGTGAGTGTTGAAATTGGATAAACTAACTGGCCATCTTGTGCATCGCTGAGTTGAGAGTGTTTTGGCTCAAAAAGAAATCTTCTAGAAGAGAGAGTGAAGACGATAGAATGAGGAGTGTCTGATTTTAATGGGGGAGGGAGCGGACACTAGAGCGCAATTATAGTGAGAAGAGCAAGCCAATGCATTTGGAATGAGTAGGAAATGCAAGATCCATATTCAATTTTAGGAACCAATAAGGAACGGAAAAGGGAGCGTGAGCGGGGGGGAGGGGACATGCAATCCAATGCAAATCAAACTAATTTAAAACGAATTCAAAAATAAGATGAGAAGATTTTCTTGTACTGGATTTTATACGATGAGCATGGAATCAAGAGAAAAGATGCAACTCATCAAATATTCTCCACTCTCTGTGAGAAAATAGGAAAAATAGCGTGTATCTTATACTTTTTATGTTTTTGAAAATAGAAAATGTGCATAGAAAAATGTTAAGGGTCGGAAAAGAAGCTAGAAAATAAGCTCATTCGGAAAATTCAAAATTTCCCGGTTCATTAAATATGTTCTTGGAAAAAAAGACACGATTTAGTCGAAAACATGAGAGAATGCATTACACGAAGAAATTATAGGAAAAAGAAAGCGAACTGAAGTTCAAAACCATTTTTGATGCTCAAAAAAACAGGAAACTGATAGATATCAGCTATCGAAATATTTGTGGTTCTTCAAACTTCTCTGAAGCCATATTCATGGACCATTTTCTCTACGAAAATCAATGAAATTTTTTCCAAAAGGGAGGGAATATTGAAAATTCACTGAAAAATCACTTAAAGTTCCTAGTTCTATACATTCCTGTCAGTTGCATAAAAAAACAAAGTTTTTGAGTTAAACAAGATCAAGTCTTGAATTCTAATTAGATGATTATAAACTTGTTATACTATTCTTTTAATTTTTTTTTGGAAATAAGGAAATTGCTAAAATTTAGTGTTAACATAAAACAAAATTAACATGCCTTTTCCATGTAAATAGAAGAATTTTCGGAAAAAAACACGGTTTATTTTTCAAGTTTCACGATTTTCCAGTCAACATTTTCATAAAAACGGGCTCAGGAAAAAATATTGAGATGGATTTCGAAAATTCTTGTGTGCAAAAGGGTTTCTTGCACTTGTAGTTTTTCCATAAATTTTATATTATTTGCTTGCCACCTATCCAGGGGAGACAAAAAATTACTGAATTGCTCAAAAAATGCGCATGTAATTATCTATTCAACACATGTTTAAACAAAAAATGACGTACTGAAGGGGTATAAAAGTGCAAGGTGCTGACGGTAGGAGACAACAACAAACATGCTCCGTTTGACAATCATTTCTCTTGCTCTTCTAGTCTGTGCTGCCAATGCCAACCTTTTTGGTGGTCTTCTTGATTCCGAACAGAAAGTTGCGGTTGTTGAGGAAAAGGTATTTTTTCAAAATTCCAATTTTTAACAAAAATACAATTCTCAGACTCAAATTAACAATAATGAGGCCCAACTGGAAGAAACTGGCATTGCCGTCATTGACAATGACACCCCGATTGCCGCTGCCATGGATGATATTGGGTCCGAAGGACAATCCAATGGAGTTGTGGTCCGTGCTAAGCGCTACTACGGTTGCGGTTGCTGTGGATGCGGTGTTACTTGTGCTACAATGGCTCCAGGCGCCACGATGGCCCCATGCGGATGCGGATGCTGTGGATGCGGATATGGGTAACTTGCTAAGTGGCTTATTTAATTTTGAATAAATTATGTTTTGTTTACCTCCACATACTTAAAAACTTGTACTACAATTCCGTGAGCTTGAAAAGAAGAATTTTTGATAACAATATTATAGTTGCAACGGGCCCGGCCGGCCGGAAGACGAATTATCTCGGCAGGCCCGCCTCCCACTGTCGAAAATTTCTAATTAAAAATTGGGATTTTTTTTTAAAGAAAAAAAGTGCCATTATTTAACAAAATTAACAAAGTAGAACGGAGTAGAAAAATAGGTTTTTTTTAGCTCTTCAAGAAAATATCAATTTTGAAATAATATCACGAATTTAGGTTTTGAGGACAGTGTTTCAAAAAATTTTTCAAAAATTTTTCAAAAATTTAAAAAAAAGTTCAAAAAAATCAGCATCTGCACAAATGGCAAGCCAGTCCGTGATTTTGCACTTATGGAAAATATTTTCCTTATAATAAAAAAAATGAAGTTGCAATTTTTCATTTCTCAATTACTCTTTCCTCACATTTTTGAATAGCTTGGAAATTAAAAATAAATAGACGTGACTTTTCAAGAAATACAGAGGAGCCAAGCTAACGAACAAGTAAAAACTAGATTAATTCACGCCAAATGCGCACCATTCAGTTGTTGGGGAGAACACGAAAACTTTTAAACTGAAATTGAAAATTTTTCTGAAAAAAAAGCAGTATGAGTGGGGGAGGCTACTTCTGTGATGACTCACTAGACAGTTTGCGGCCAAAAATGGAGGCGCCAGGAAAAAAAGAAGAAGAATCACTCTGTTTGCTTTTCAGGACACTAAAGGAAGACCTCTCTCCACAGAAAAAAACACATATCATAAGTATATTTCTATACACCGGATGACTAACATTCAGACCACCATGTGCACTTTTCGAAGTAAACCGAGGAAATAATATTTCTCAAGACTAATTAGAAACATGAAGGGGTGTGTAAGATGACAGAGAGCACATGTTTAGTGCCAAAAATTCATTAGCCCGTGCATATGATGCTAGGGGTGAATAAGTAGAAGAAGAAGAAAATGTAGAAAACGAAGAAAGGAGAGGGTAAGAGCTCATACAGCAGCTCATTTCTTTTTATATATGCATGTAGATATGTACGAAAAAGAGATCTTGAGAAAAATGAGGTAGGATTACCGGATAGAAACATGTAAAAAAGTAGTAAGTGATAATAACAAGTTGTTGATAAGGAGAGATTTTCAGAATCTCGAGGGAAAAAAGAAGTAAGTGTGATATTGAGGAAAATATAGAGAACAGAAGAAAAAGAGAAAGGGAGAAAAAAGGGAGGTTGGATTTCGGTTTTCTAATGAGCCTCAAAACATTCTTGGGTACTTGAAAATTTATACACATTTTGAGGCTTGAGAAGACGTTTTCTACTACACATGATGTTTATAAAATTTAAAAAATTTATAAAATTTAAAAATGAAGAAAAAATAGCAAAAGACTTTGTAAATCCAGATTTTTAGAAAAATTTTAGGATGGACTAGAATTAGCCTACCGTATTTCCTCTATTACGAGCCAATGGGCTTCTATTTTTAAACAATTTATTTTCAAAAAAAAATGTTTGTTCAAAAATTCACAAAATTGACAATTCGGAAAAAAAGACTTTTGAAATCCAGCCTTCTGGAGAATTTGAAATTTTTATTCTGCAATTCTGAATTTCAAAATTTGGAATTTATGAAATTCTGAAATTTTAGGATTTCGAAATTGGTGGGCTTCTATTATAGGAAATACGGTATGCAGACAATTCTGAAGTTTTTAGAATTTGCTCGCCAGTTTCAGCTGAGTTATATCAGTTTCAGTACAAAAACAAAACCCGCATTTTTTGTGCACAAATAGAAATTCTCAAAAAACGAATCCCTCCACTTTGAGGATGGTTCAAATCATGAAATGTATTATATGCTCCTTAAATTAAATGAAAGTTCATTTTTTAGACATTTTCTCGAATAAATTTTCAATTTTAGAAAAAAAAATGAGAAAATTTCCGAAATATGAACTTTCATTTAATTCTAGGTTTTTAATACTGAAACTGTTATAACTCACCTGACACTGGCGAGAGGATTTCAAAATTTGGGGAGCAAATTTTTTAGGACCCGGGTTTTCCATCATTTTCCAATATTTTCCGATGTGCTGAGGTGCAAATTTAGAGACACTCTGTTTTAGGCGAGTCTTTCATTAGCCTTGAAAGCACTGGAAAAGCCCGGTTCGGTCTAACCCGGCCCGGCAAGTTGCAATCATAAAAAATCAGATTCAAGTGTATACGTATACCAGCCATCTGTTTGCCGCGCCACCGGCGCTTCAGTATATAAGAAAGATAGAATTCCGTCGCAAACGTGCTAGAACCAGGAAGAACAACACACACACACACACAATTTTATGGGAAATGAGTTGGTAAGCAATAAGAGAAAGAGCATGGAGCAATGCAAGGTAACAACAGGCGAGAGAAGGGGAGAATAAACACACTAGGATACACATTTTTGATAACACACACACACACTTTGAATGTTGTTCAATGAGAGTGTGAGGTTAGAAACATAGGAAATGAGTCAATTGGTGTAGGAAATGAATGAAAAAAAAGTCAATCCTGAGAGATATCTTTCGACGGCAAATTTGTCTTGCTCAAAATGCACTTGATGGATTTCCGATGACAAAATGCATGTCATAATATAGTCGGAAAAGGAGGAAGTTGTGAGAAAAAAGAAAATTAAAATTTCAGCTCCTTACTGAAAAATTTAAGAAAAGGGAGGAAAATAAAAAAGGGAGGAAAAAGAAAAAAAGAAACAATGCTGACGTTGGAAAACTCGCCGACAAAAAACAAAAACAAAAAGTTATGAAATCGGGTTAATTCGAATTCTCCAATGGGTAAATTTTGCTGCAAAATTTTAGAAATAAAGAAATGAAGTTTTCTTGTTTGTGTTGAGTTTTCGGCATTCTCATGTTCATAGACAGAGACACAGAACATTTCGAAGCGTATCAGAAACTTGAGAGGGTATGCATACATATACATAGCTTCATAGTGATTTTGTTGGCGCAACACTATTTGCATATGATGAAAATGAGAGGAGTAATGGAGAAGAGACCTTGTAAACCGAGATCTCGGTCAAAATAGATTGATAATACCATTTCTACACATTTTCAGCCGAGTTATATCAGTTTTAGTACCAAAAATCGCGTTTTCACTGCAAAAACAACTAATTTCAAAATCGATTCTCTCAAATTCTAGTAGATCTCAGAACAATGAAAGTGTTGTGTTTTACTAAGAATTTGATGAAACTACATCTTACAGAAAAGTTCAGCGCTTCAGCTCTATTCCGAAGAAGGTTACAGTCAAAAAACCTGTCGACGCGTTCTTTTTGTCCAGCACTGTATGTGTTGTCACCAGGCTTCCAATTGTTTCTAAATTTTTTTGGAAATGAGTGTTTTAAAATTTCCCCATTTTCCGATTAATGATATCCGAAAACAGGGTTCAATGAAAACAAAATGTCAATAAACATTTTTGGGACCATTCTCTCGAAAAAACCCATTTTCCTAATGTTAGGTTGGCAGGAAAGTAACTGTCCCTTGTTTTAATTGTGAATAATACAAAAACCAGGTTAAGCCAAATTAGCAGTATGCACCGTCGTGGTCTTTTATCTTTCTCGTTTAAGAGTTATTCCATTATAGAAGATAATAATTCTTTATGAGCAGAAACCTATTTATACCGTTTTTACCAACCTTTAGGCGATTGAGAAGATCTTCATCTGTCTCGTCCTTATTGATAAAATCGAAATAAGTTCCATAGTCATCCTTAAATATTAGTGTTGCTATGATAATTAAAGCTTGTTCGCTAACCGTATGCTTGGGCGATTTACATTGTTTTCCAATTCCTTGCCACATGCATCGCAAAGTAGCGCAGTTATTATTATCCTTGAGTACATGTTGCCACGGAACTCGTTCCCACGGAACTTGAAGAGATGAAAAGGAAGTGAAATAGTCAGAAGCAGCAACAACAATGGACCTACCACCATCACACACTGGCCTTTGTATTATGAACATCTAGATTTATCTACATAAGATAGTAGGTTGTTGTGGGTGATCCTTTCTGTAAATGGAAAAGTGAATATTGTTGTTCGATCAAAGAGAACACTGTTATAAGCCACATCTACGTATATACAGTGCGCGTCATAATGATAGGACCCCCCCCCCCTCCAAAATGAGTGTTCTGAAAAAACCAACAAAAATCTAAATACTGTGAACGCAGTTGGATTCAACGTGTGGTGGAAAAACCGGCTCTAGTATGAAATTCTGGTCCTTAAAAAAATTCTGTTCCTTAGAAAAAATCCTGGTCCTTAAAAAAAATTCTGGTCCTTAAAAAAAATTCTGGTCCTTAAAAAATTCTGGTCCTTAGAAAAAAATTCTGGTCCTTAAAATGCGTTAATGTAAATGTATATTTTTCATCTGAAAATTTCGTAAAATCCATGAATTTTGTTGTTTTAGTTTGTGTTTAAGAAGTTTTCATGATAGACATTAAAATGTTGTTATTAGAAAGATAGTAAATGTTGCAAGTATCAAAATAAAGTGCACATATGGTCTATTTTCTAAAGGAACATCAGAAAAATTGAAAATATACATATTTCGAGTTTCACCAAACTTGAAAAATGCTAGTTGGTAAGAAATAAACACTGAAAGGACCATCTCTACCAGATTCCGCAGGTCGAGTAACGTTCCAAGTTAAGTGTGTGTATTTTGATCCTCCTTTACAGATATAAAATTTTTTATTGGATCTAATCTGTTAACCATAGTTTCAAAACATATTTTTTCGGAAAGGCTGTCCTGATGGCTTTACATAAAAGAGAAAAAAATATATCGGAATCCGAAACTTCAAAATGTACATTTTGCGTACAAACTTGTGGTGCAATAGTCATTATCAATTTAAAAGTAATAATTCTTACGGGATGTATGGTATAGAATGGGGGTACTTCTGTTCATAGGCCGTAGGAATCATATAGAAAAACGAAAATATGAATATGAGATTTCACACTAATTCAAGAAGCTTCAGGAGTTTACATGTTTTTGAGTAAAAAAACTAAACTATTCAATCCAGACTATGTGAATGTTTTTTTCTCTTTTATGTAAAGCCATCAGGACAGCCTTCCCGAAAAATGTGTTTTGAAACCATGGTTAACAGATTAGATTCAATAAAAAAATTTTATATCTGTAAAGGAGGATCAAAATACAAAAAATTAGGCAAAATACAAGTAAACACTTAATACTTGGAACGTTAGTCGACCTGCGGAATCTGGTAGAGATGGTCCTCTCAGTGTTTATTTCTTACCAACTAGCATTTTTCAAATTTGGTGGAACTGGAAATATGTATATTTTAAATTTTTCTGATGTTCCTTTAGAAAATGGACCATGGGTGCACTTTACTTTGATACTTCCAACATTCACTATCTTTCTAATAACAAAATTTTAATATCTACCATGAAAACTTCTTGAACACAAACAAAAACAACAAAATTCATTTTAAAGGAGGCCAGACATCAAAAAAAAAGTTTTCCTGATATTTTGCATAGAGAACCCCCATGCGGGGTTGAACTCATGACAGGCAGCTCAGGGGTACAGCGCCGCTACCGGCTGAGCTACGGAGGCGCGAAGGCGCCTGACGACCGATGGTCTACATAAGCGCGGCGCGATTTCGTCCCCCGAACTGTCCCCCGAAATTTTTGCTGTCTCGCCTCCTTTAAGGACCAGAATTTTTTTCTAAGGACCAGAATTTTTATTTAAGGACCAGAATTTTTTTTAAGGACCAGAATTTTTTTTAAGGACCAGAATTTTTTTTAAGGACCAGATTTTTTTTTTAAGGACCAGAATTTTTTAAGGACCAGAATTTTTTTTAAGGACCAGAATTTTTTTTAAGGACCAGATTTTTTTTTTAAGGACCAGAATTTTTTCCTAAGGACCAGAATTTTTATTTAAGGACCAGATTTTTTTTTAAGGACCAGAATTTTTTTTAAGGACCAGATTTTTTTTTAAGGACCAGAATTTTTTTTAAGGACCAGATTTTTTTTTAAGGACCAGAATTTTTTAAGGACCAGAATTTTTTTTAAGGACCAGAATTTTTTTTAAGGACCAGATTTTTTTTTTAAGGACCAGAATTTTTTCCTAAGGACCGAATTTTTATTTAAGGACCAGAATTTTTATTTAAGGACCAGAATTTTTTTAAGGACCAGAATTTTTTTTAAGGACCAGAATTTTTTTTAAGGACCAGATTTTTTTTTTAAGGACCAGAATTTTTTAAGGACCAGAATTTTTTTTAAGGACCAGAATTTTTTTTAAGGACCAGATTTTTTTTTTAAGGACCAGAATTTTTTCCTAAGGACCAGAATTTTTATTTAAGGACCAGATTTTTTTTTTAAGGACCAGAATTTTTTTTAAGGACCAGATTTTTTTTTAAGGACCAGAATTTTTTTTAAGGACCAGATTTTTTTTTAAGGACCAGAATTTTTTCTAAGGACCAGAATTTTTTCTAAGGACCAGAATTTTTTTTAAGGACCAGAATTTCATACTAGAGCCGAAAAACCTATGATTACAAAAAACAAAATTTCGGACCAATTTAGCCATTTTCAAGCGCAGAAGACGCGAAAATCACTCTCGAAAATCACTCAGGCCGCGTCATAATGATAGGACTCCCCCCCCCCCTTGGAAAATGAAAAATCTCAAGTTGTTTTTTTTGGGAAAAAAGTTTAATTTTTTGTTAAAAATTGTCAGAATAGCTTCAAAGCAGAATTTATATCATAATACACACAATTATTGTTTTCTCTACTCATGTTTCAGAAAAAATATTTTACAGACTTTTTCGTCTTTTTCAGGTTTTCTGAAATAAATCTTCAATAACTCAGCTCCTGGGTTTTTTTTTTGTCTTAGGTCCTTTTTGAAAAAGCCACATATCTTGATATATTTATTCGATGAAAAATACAATAGGCTGTGAAAGAATTTTTTCACCATGATACATCATAATTTAAATGAGATAGAAAAATTAATTAAGAAAAAATTAACTCAAAAAAGAGAGAAATAGAATTGAAACCGAAATTTTGAAAATTTCGAATGATGATTCAAATTTTTATAAAGGAAGAAAAGCAATTCAACACTAAGAACGTGTAGCTCGGGGGAATCTTTGATATTTTGTATACACTTTGGGAATTTTATTCAGGATGCCTCAAGCCGACGTGGGTCAAAATAATGGCATTGTTTTCTATCTATACTTTTTGAATTGACATCTCGATACTATTTATCACAATTTGGAAATAATGCAGAAAAAAGTTCTTTAAAATAAGCAAGAAAAAAAAAGAAAAAATACACTGGTGACAGGAAATATAGTATGCATCAAGGAGATCATGAAAAGGGAGTCTGCATGTCAAGATCACATTAATCAACAGTGCGAACTTTTCTAGCACGAGGACAATTAATTGGTTCTTGTTGGATTTGTCAGAGTATAGATAGAAAACAATGTCATTATTTTGACCCACATCGACCGGTTGGCTTGTGGCATCCTATATAAAATTCCCAGAGTGTATACAAAATATCAAAGATTCCCCCGAGCTACACGTTCTTACAATTAGAGTTGAATCGCTTTTCATCATTTAGAAAAATTTGAATCATCATTCGAAAGTTTCAAAATTCTTGTTTGAATTCTATTGCTTTCTTTTTGAGTTAACTTAATGAGTTTTTCCTTCTCATTTAAATTTTGATGTATCATGGCAAAGACATTCTCTCACAGCCCATGGTATTTTTCATCAAATGAATCTATCAAGATACGTGTCTTTTTTCAGAATCTTTCGCCTTCCATCCAATTCCCATACTCTATCTTTCTTTTTTTTTTTAATTTTTGAAACATTCACATTGTCTTTTTTGTATGGTTCCCATCTTTTATCTATTCTGCATGTATGACACATTTTCCCAACGATTAACATATCAGATCGTTTAAAACCACGAATGCATACAGTTTTTGACATGATTCTCTAGAAATTCGTGACTTTTTTGAACAACGTTTCCGCGATATGTTATTGTTGTTTTATGAGAACTGCAGGGCTATAGTGATATTTTTTATTCGCCGTTAAAGCGCTTGTATAAAAGCAACTCTCCCCCGATTACTCGCCATTTTATTCCGTATAACAGTATAGCTGATGCTTTTTACTATATAAATTCGAAACTTTCAGATCATCAGCAGTTTTTTGCCGCTGAAATGAACAAATTGTTTTATGTTGACATTTAACTTCTAAATGCAGCAGATATTTATTTAGCAAGGTGACGATGAATGAGAAAAAAAAACCATTGAGGGACAGGAAATATAGTATGCTTAAAGCAAAAAATAAGTCTGCATGTCAAGACGACATTAATCAACAATGTGGACATCTCTAGCACAGAAACAATGAATTGGTTCTTGTTGGGTATGAGAGGGCATAGATAGAGGACAATGCCATTATTTTGACCCACTTCAACTCGCTGGCTCGGTGTTTTTTGCCATTGACTCTGAAAGTGCCGAAGTATCCTGAAAAAAATTTTCGGTGTTTATAAAAGCTCCTTGAAAAGTTGAATTTGGGTGTGAGATATCAGAAATTCCCCCGAGCTATACGTTCTTAAAGTTGGATCGCTTTTCATCCGTTAGAAAGAGTTTCGTTACAACCACCCGAAAATTTTATGAGCCCTTTTATTGCGGTATCTTCTGGGTTTTTTTCTCTGTGTGATTTTTGTATAAAAGCAATTCTCCCCCGATTACTCGCCATTTTATTCCGTATAACAGTATAGCTGATGCTTTTTACTATATAAATTCGAAACTTTCAGATCATCACCCAGTTTTTCGCCGCTGAAATGAAATGAACAAATTGTTTTACAATCCCGTCGAAACCCTCAGCTCCGAAAACAGCAAAAAGTTGGTAGAAGTCACTATCAAACGTCTACCACCGAACGCCGTGCTCTATTACCCGCGCGGCGGACAATTTATTCAGTGGCCTGCTTTCGGAGGGTAAATGTTCACTTCTGATTCATTTGTAAGTTCACTTTTAAGCCACGTCACCGACGAGTGGCTCTCGAAAAACCGCTGCCCTGGAGAGCAAGCTCTTCTTCGTGGAACACCGTTGGTAGTTTCCGCGGATGTGAAAATCCCAAACTCGTTCCCCGCCACGGAACTCCTCATTGTGACCCGAGTGGAAGGAGGGTCCCTCCGAAACGTAAGACTACTGAATGATCTTAATAGCATTTTCATATTTTAGGAGGGTAAAATCGGAAGTCAAAAACCTAGCGAGGTGCCGGATCAAAGAGCTGAAAATGCGCAAATCGGAGGTCATCAACCTAGCGAGGTGCTGGACCAAACAGCTGAAATTGCGCTTCTGAAAAATGAAATCGCGCTTCTCAAAAGAAAAGTAATATATTGATGAAACGGATAATAATAAAACACTGCTGTTTTTAGATTGGGGATCTGGAAGTGAATTATTATAACCTCAAGAGGTCTCATGAGGACGGAATGAGAGGGATTTAGAGCTACCCTTATAATTTTAAAGAATGAGGAAATGAAAGGATTTTGTATTTTATTTTTCAAATTTGTTTGTTTTTATACACTGTTCCCACAAAAAAGTTCCTTGAGGAGTTTCGCTTTTCTTTGAGAAGATAAAGATTTCCCAACTTTTCCATGATACTCCACCGATCGCTATCTTCAAAAAGAAACTGACGAACGATAATTAATCTTTTCCATGCTCCCAACCGGGTCGATCGGGATAAAAACGACTAAGTCGTGGATCTTTATCAAGAGACCAACTGACGAGAACTCTCAACATTTTGGATACACCAAAGTAGAAAAAATGAGCACAGTTGTTTTTTTAGTACTTCTCCCCACAATGAGAAATAAGATAAAAATATAACAACAATGAATTCGAAAATTTTGAAAATCAAATCGAAGCTGTTGCTCAATTTTTTACACCAGAAAATATTATTTTAACACCCGGAATTTCGAAATACTCAAAAATAAACTTTTTCATTGTTTTTTGGCTAATTACTCGTTTTGTCTATATGTGTCGTGGAATACACAAGTAAACCTTATAAGTTTGTTTTCAGATGACCTTGTTCCAGTTCCTCCGATGGTTTTGTCAGCTCATCCATCTTGGCTCGTATTATAAGTTTTTAATATTAATGATGTACACGCTCTTTGGAGCTTGGATGTTCAAGACCCTCGAGACGACACCACTCACTGAAGGAATTGGAAAAACCCCCGCCCTGATCATAAAAGAGCCCCAGGTAATTATTTTAAAAATGAGTTCAAATTTTAAGAATGAAAATTTCAGGATGCCTTTATCTTTTTGAAGAAGTTCCAAGAGACCGCCGCAAAGATGCCCGATGAATTGCTTTTGCAATTTGTTAAGAACCAAAGCGACATCCTGTTCGCCGCATACAAAGCTCAGGAAGAGATCGACTGGACGTGGTGCCTGGGTATCCTCTACTCAGTGGAAACGTACACCACGATTGGTAAGTTTTTCTTATGATCACTCTGTATCTTAAATTCCAATTTTCAGGTTACGGTTACCCCGTCGTAAGGACATGGCAAGCAAGGTTGGCCACAATCATCTACGCAATGATTGGTGTCCCATTCTTCTTGGTATACCTCGCGGTAATTAATTCGATTTTCAATATCAGGGCTTTAAATAATGGTACTTGTAACAGTTCAAACATCTAAAACGTTCAATTGAGTATTTCATTGAGATATCTTTAAACCGAGCTTTAATTAGAACGTTTTTCTTTTTATAATCAATTTGCTATGTTTCAAGCTGTCTGGTAATTTTTTGTCGAACATTTGTTACATTACACTCTATGAGATAGGTGAGCAAGATAAATGAGAAGCACAAAGATCTATTGAGAGATATCAGAAATAATCAAAAAAGCAATGGTTCCCTTTTTAGTCGGTCGGAAAGACCATGAGCAAAACCATGGCAAGGATCGACAAGAGAATGCGTCGAACTAATTTTGGAAAACTCCTCCTCTACTCTCGAGTCCCGGTAAGTTAATAAGGCAATTAATTTAGAGGGTACAACAGATTTGGGGTTATTTGGGTACAAAGCAATTTATGGGTATAAAATCTTCAAGTTAGGGGTGAAAAATCCTTGCGAAAATCCATGTTGTGTACCCACGAATGAAGGCTTTTGTATCCCTAAATCACTTTGTACTTCCCTTGTACCCCCGAATTGTTGTATCCTCCGAATTTTGTGCCAGTTAGAAATTGGTCTGAATTGAGAGTTTTGCACATTTCAAGATGGCCAACTCCGAAGCTTCAGAGGACCCTTTCTCGATCAGAATCGCTGTAATGATGCTGATTATTTGGATCTGTTTCACATCGGCATTCTTTTCTGTTTTGGAAGGTTGGACTTATGCAACTTCTGCATATTTTTTCATCGTCACCATTTCGTTAGTTTCCAAAGTTTTTTTGCTTCTAATTTAATTGCCTTTTTCAGAACAATAGGATATGGTGATTTGATTTTCCAAAACCAAAACATGATTCCATTCAATTTGTCGCTTATTCTGAATGGAATGTGCCTTATTTCCATGTGCTTCGAATTGACTATTAAAAGGATCGCCAAATGGAAACAAAATCAGTTCGAAAAACATATGAAAAAGATTCAAAAAATGGCATTACTGGTGTACGAGAAGGATCTATTAGTTGAGGACGCCTCACATCTTGATATTTGCATAAATCGTGAGTCTAAATCTATCGAAATTATTTTAAAATCACTTCTCCAGCTAACCTAATGGAATACGCTGCAACTCATACAGGCGAAGAGACAATTGGTTTCTTTGGAGAAATGAAAGAATGGGCTTATGGTATTTTAGTAGATCATGTGATCCAGTCCAAATTGGAAACGAATCCAAACTATGCTGATGAAGAGTTAGACGAAGAGGAAGGACAAGAAATGGTAAATATGGTTGTTGGCTCAAACGAAAGAGGAACAAGAAAAAATACCGGAATTCGTAAGTAAATTTTTAAAACTGTAAGGTATTCTTTTTTACAGTGTCTTCTTATTCTTGCACCTCAAAACGTATGATTCGCCAAACATATCACACACTCATTGATCGCATCAAGGCGCTGGAGCAAGCCAAGCCAAGGAAAAATGACATGGACTCAATAATGTTTATCCAATTTTTGGAGAACAAAAAAGTCGTCAAACTTGTGGAACTATTCAAGCATCCAAATCAGACTACAACTTCATGTCAAACCGATATTAGTGGACCAGTAGATCAGAAGACAAATCAAACGATGAATGAGAAAATCGGTAAATTTCATTTTGATATCAGGGATGCAGTCATAGCCTCCTCACTCCAGGCTCATGTTTCCTTCAACCTACCGCGTCTCCGATTTCAATCAGATCAAGCAAAGATGGTGAAATCGAGGTTTCTCTTTGGTCAATTGCATTCAAGGATCTGAAGTTTGGTGGTATAACTGAGTATTTCTTTTATGAGGGTCTTATCGGACAATCTACGGACTCAATTCTTTATGTGAGTTTTTTAAATGAATTTCAATTTTAAAACAATAACAATTTTCAGTTAGATGAAGATTATGTCAAAATTCCAGTCCATATGTTACGTCGAAGAACTTTGCAACCTCCAATGAGTCCTCTATCAAACCAGGCTTCATCACTCAAAGCGTTGGTGGTACAAGAACAACACGAAAAGGACAATTCAGAGAATCAATCAAAGCAAAGAAGGCGGACATCGTGTTAACGGGCATTTCGGGAGTTTTTCGGAATTTATGATTAGGTGTGAAACTTTAAATTTTAGAGTTTTTTTTTCATTTTCGGTTTCAAGTTGTTCGGGTTAAAACCTTAGATTCAAAAATTAGATTTGGAAAACAAAAGTGAAATGAATTCAGTCAAATTGTGACTTTTTTCAACATAATTTAGTCGAAAAATGGGATTAAATTTCAAGATATTGATTTGCAGAACTAAGAAACAATGGTTGATTTGATGACAATCTTCAAAATTTTCGATTTCTCGTTTGACCTACTTTTCCTTCAACTTTCCTTTAACATATTATTAACAATCTCAAATCAATTTTCAGTCTTTCTTTTATGTTTTTCTCCCACTTTGACTGATTTTCAGTATATTTTTTCAATACAATACCATTTTATTGAGCTGATTTGTATATGAAAATTTTCCTGTTTTTAGTTTTTTTTACTCTTTTTTTCCACTGGAAAAGCTAAAGCAAATTAGAGATCAAAAATGCTCGGTTTTATCTCCTGGTGAAGGAAGAGAAACAGACACGCACAAAAGACTTGGACCAGAAAAAAGATGAGAACATGTGTGGTTGAATATACAACCTCCAACAAACCTTTGGATGAGTGAGAAAGCAGCAGTTTTGAAAGGAATAAAAAAGTTGAAGTTCAATTAGATTGTCAGAATGGTTAGCTCCCCAGCGGATTAATTAATAATTTTTCAGGAAGTTATACTGCGAAATATTCTCAAAAATTGCAGAAATGACATTCAGTTATTTTCTAGTTATTTTATTTATGTTTTGGAATATTGTTTTTTTGAAAATTCAAAAAAGTATCATGTATAAAAAACCTGAGTTAACTTGTGTCAATGAAGCACCAATTTTTCCAATTTCTTCGTAGAACCTATGCTTGTCATTTTTAACATTGCTTCCGCATTAGAAAACCAGAGATTTTGAACATTCCGGATAAAAATGTTTTTTTGAAAAATTTTGAGTAGGCGTATTATTAACTGGAATAGTGTTTCAACAAATTTATTATAAATTCACAAAAATTAAAATCAATCCACAACAAAATTATTACTCAAATGCCAGTCTTTTGATGTCGCTTTCGTTGTGCCTCTGGTTCTGGCTTTATATAAAAAGGATCCGGCTGCTCTGGTTGACCTTCTATTTCTTCGATTTCTTGTTTTATTTCTTCGATTGGTTTCCGCTGGTTATCAACAGTTGGTGGTGTTATGTTGGCTTGAAATCTGATGCCGCATTCATGAACATTTACTTTTAGGTAAATAGAACGTGTAAATGATTTACCAAAAGGAAAATAGAGTGATTGGTATTCATGAAAAATTGGTAAAAGAAAGCATTTTCCTTCAGATTTACAGTGATTTTTCATTTTTCACGTCACTGATATTTTCTTTTTCTTTTTGATTTTTCAGTGATCATTTTTGTAAATATTTACACCTGTAAATCGATTTACCAAAAAATGGATTTACCGTATTCACAAAAGGATTTACTCGAAGTAAATATTTACCCTTGTAATCTATATTGAAATATTGTTTTTCACAGTAATTTATAAAAATATGGCAGAGTTGACAAAAGCTATTACGTAACTTTATGTTAAAAATAGATATCTAAATATTTGGCAAAGCTAGACCTTCATTTGACAATTAACTTTTTTTTGCTTATTAGCATCTGTTCTCTTTGGGAGCAATAATAAATAGTTACATTGACTCAAGGCCAGTCATAGGTCACCTCTAGAAATGGTCCAAAAAATGAAAAATTGAGATTATTTAGTTTTTGCCAAACATAAAAATAAAAAGCGGAAACGGTCTAGAAATTGTAGAAAAATGCTATTTTTGTCATTTCATTAACTTTTGAAGTGATTTTTTGGGGATGTGCAACTTTTTTGATTTTTTTTTTCATTTTTTTTTTATCTAGAAATGTTGTGTGCTTTTATAATATTCTCAGTTTCATCATAATTGAAAGTTTCAGTTTCAATATTTAAACTTTATTTTAATGAGTTTCATCCAAACAGTGAGGAAACTCTTATTTTCCTACCCCCAACTTTGGTAAATAAAATCAAGTGAGTAAATCATTTATCATTAGGAAAATAATTTTCATGAATACCAATCACGTTATTTTCCAATGTGTAAATCGATTTTCCTATTAAAATTTTTAAAAAGTTAACGTTATATTTTTCTTTCGTAAATATTTTCCTTGGTAAATGCATTTACCTAGGTAAATGTTCGTGAATACGGCCTCTGGAAAGGATAAATGAAGACAACTAGTTATTGTATAAACTGAAACTTACTGTCTATGAGCGGAATTACGATCATTGTCCAATACTCCCGAATCGAAGAATTTTCCAAGAGCCCGATGATTCTGAAAAAGGTGTCATACAAGGAATTCGTGAACTAAAAATATTTTTACAATATATGAAGGATGGGGAATTTTGTCTCCCAACTTGATAAACTTCAGTTTTCTATCTTCCGAAAGATGTGTGCTCCGGCCTGGGATGTTGTTGATTCTGAAAAGCATTTTTGTTGGAAAGCTAGACACCACAGAACGTACTTATTCTCTAAAAATTCAGGAACTTCCGTTTTTGTCATTTTTTCATGAATTTGGTAGTGTATTTTTTTATTTTTTTTATTCATGACTTTTCCTGTTTATCGTTGTTCTTCGTATTCTCTAGTTGTTCCATCTTCCTCTTTGAGAAATCAATAAAAATTTTACTTGTTCAAAAATTGGAGTTAGCCATTGTTTATGAATTTCTTTTTCTTCCTTTTTTTTTGTTTATTTCTGTCCCTTTTTCTTCCCTAAAACCATTTGAAAATATGTCATAAAATCAGTTTTCACGTGAAGTAATTTCCAAAATTATTTTCTTAAAAATCTTCACAAGATAATTAATTTTTTTCTTTCAGAAAATGGCTGATGATCATGATCTTTTAGGTTACACTGTTCAACTTGTCGAAGAAATAATGAATGACCAAAAATAACTGCAACTGGACTATATACGTATGATGGATGTATACTATATACGTATGAACAATGAAAAACAAATCGAATTGAACGACAAAACAATCGAAAACCAAGATTGGATGATTAAATTTCTCCTTCTCGAATTGAAGGACACCATCATCACAAAGAACAAGAAGATCGCGGCTTGGAGATCAACCGCATTGAAATGTGCGCCACCAACAAGCGGACTTCACAGTGAGTTCAACATATTTTTGAACTAATTTTAAATTCGCTTGAAAACTAAAAACCTAGATTGAGCTCCTTTTTTTTCAGAATTCGCCGACGAAAAAGACGTTCCCGACGTCGACGAAGAGTTTCTTGCAATTATCAATGATATTCTGAAAAAGCAGAAAACTGTGCCCGGAGCTACGCAATTTCCAGAATACGCCGACAGCAGCAAAGGTTTATTGACCAACGAAGGCAAAGCTGCGTTTAATGATTTTCTGAAAAAAAGCACAAAACTGTGACCAAACCTGGAGCTGAACCAGCAGTCGAGAAGAATACGACAAACTGGAAGAATAATTTTCAAAATCCCACAAGTTGGACTCTTGGGACTTATTTTGTCATCTCACTATTGATTTGGTTTCTTTTTTGAATTAATAAAAATATGTTGTTAATCAATGTGCTTAAGTTTCTGTAAAGCTTTTCAGATGAAAAATGCAACAAGAAGATTTGAAAAAGCATTTTGCGCATTTTTTCTAGAACATGATTTCAAACGTTCTCAGCTCACTCATTTGCTCTAAAACGCTAAAAAAAGTTTTCAGTGAAGCCACCGGCATTGTTCCTTTCTGTTTTTGGAACATTTTATTGTTTAAAACTTTGATCGAGCCCTTCCGAGTGCAAATTTCCTATATTTTATTTACACAAACTTGCTTCTTATTTCTTAATTTGAGCTTCTACCATTTAACATCATCCATTGTACGAATAATGGATTAGTTGCAATCAGTGTAGAATTACAGTGTATGATTACATGTTCTTCAACGATTCTCAATGAATATGGAAAAATTATGTCTTTAGGCTTAAATTTCAGCTCTCAAAATACCCGAAATCATCTGGGCAAAACAATCCGCTCTGTGTGGCCGATGGAGCACAATTTCTTATTCCCATCTAGGAGCTTAGAAAACCATCGCCACGGCCTCTTGATTACAAATATGAATACCGTTATTTCCGCACGTTCTCACTTGTTTTTGCATACAAGAGTGTCCTGAGACTTTTATCTGAAAACAGAAAAATTTATATTCCTTATTTTAGATCTGATTCATGCATACGACTTCGTGTTTTCCCATTCTAGAATTTTTTGTCATTTACCTCAATCTAACTTTCCACACTTTCTCTTTCTTCTCAGATCAAAGTCCAAATCGTGTCTAGACATTGCTAACTACTTAGCACAAAATGGACAGATGATGTTGTTGGCACCGTATGTTTTGGAATCAGCAGACACGTGCAAATATGGATGATGAAATTTTTGTGAGAGTTGGAGAGAGCGCATATGCATAGAGCCATGTGAGTCGTTCGAAGATGGGCGCGAAACGCAGAAAATTTGTGTTTATTAGTGTTGATTAATTTCTACTTTAAACAACCTTAAAATTTATTGAAATCAATGAAAAATAATATATCTCGGACTCAGAGACATTTCTCGCCGTATAAGCCCTGTATGGGGAGAAGTAATTTCAGAACATGGCTGCTGCCAAACCTGTAGTCACTGGCGACATCGATTTCGAACTTTTTAAAACTATGATGAAGCAGATCGATTCTGATATTGACGACATCATCAAGGAGAACGAGGAGATCGAAGAATTGAAATTGATCGCATTTAAATATGCGGCCGCATATGCGCGAGATCCCAATGAGTGATTTTGAAATTCGTATTCTATTTGTTTTCTCATGTTTTCAGAATCCGCCGACGAAAACGAAGGTTCAAGAATCTCTGCCAAAGCTGCGTTTAATGCTTTTGTGACAAAGCAGGGAGCTGTGAGCGGAGCTGAAGCAGAAGCAAAAGTCGAGGAAAAAGACGATAAACTTGAAGGATAATCTTCAGGATTCCACTAGTTGAACTGCTGGTACTCGTCTCATGATTTTATTGTTGAAATTTTTATGAACGATTATTACTATGGTTTTTATTTGCCGAGGAAAACGAATGACACCGAAAAGAGTCATGAGATTCGAGAGAAATTTGGAGAAGATCGGAAAATAGCCCCAATACAAAGTCGATGAGATGTTTGAAACACGAAATGAGATGAACACAAAGTTTTGAGGGGAAAATTGGAAAAATATGTGTGACGGGGAAAAATATGTCGGAATCGGGAGACTCGTAGCCGGGGGAAAGAACGGGAATGTGAATGGGAGCTAGATATCGGCGACATCCGAAGCCAACACGATTGTATTATTGGAGAGAGTTTCGAGCAGCTTTGCTTGTTCGGCGACTTTTTCAGCAAGCTTCATGTGGGACAGCATAACTGAAAATTAAAGAGGCTGATGAGAGAATTTGGAAAATTTCACAAATTTGAAAAAACAATTCGAAAACAGCTGAATTTCGAGTTCATTTTAGAAGTAGCCAGCCAATGAAATGGAAACACTTCAATCATACTTGTTGACGGGCCGGCTGATAACTCGCTTCACGCTCAGAAAGCTTTACTACCTCCCTTGAAAACGGAATGTATTAAAGTCCTGGCTGACGATTTTTCTTCGGTAAGATTCATTAAATGTCGAACAACACTTGATTAATTGATTTCAATGATGGTCGAGGCTTATTGGAGGTTGTGGAGCTCGCCGAGCTCTATCATCTGGCATGTTATTTTTCCCACGATACCAAGCATGAAACGAGTTATCAGCCCACCGACATCACTTTTACAGTTTTCGTACAATTTTAACAAAAATTGAAAAATTCAGGAAAATTGTTGAGAAGTTGAGAATAAATTCAGCTTTTGGATGAATTGTGGTCACGTTTTAGTACAAAACTTGATCAAAAACGGCTTTACATACTGGACCATAAACCTATTTTGATCAAAGCAATAGAAATCATAAGTTTGCCAAATTTCAGTCGACCGTAACAGCTTGTCCCGGAATCTGACCAACCTCCGGCCAGAAGCCGACGACACCAGATATACTTGCTGAAAGGATTGGACCGCCCGTTCGAATGTGATTACTCTTTTTTATTTGAAATATTTTCTTGAACTTGCTGAAAAACTCACTTGTAACCATGCTCGTGTCGTTTGGCGGCCCATATTTGTTGATAATCTCTTCCAGCGCAGCAATCTTTTTTTCCTGTGCCTCAGCCTCCAACTTGTATCGGTTGATTATCTTCTCGTTGATGTCGAGCATATCGTCTTTATTCTTCATGAGTTGATCCCAGTTCTTCAAGCGTTCCTCCTGTCCTTGATACATCTTCTCCAGATTCTCGAACTTCTGATCTTTTATCTCCATTATCTCCGTGAGACTTTTGATGTGTTCCTTCCTGATTTCGTTCAGCTGTTGAAGATCTTCGATTGTTTTTTTCTTACTGTTGGGCATGATCTGAAAGAAAAAAGATATAAAATGACAAGTACTGAAAAAGAAAACGGGAATTCAATTACTGGAAACACGAACAAGAAAAAACGCCTAGGGCACATAGAATCCAAACGCAACGCACGTCTGGCAGCGACGCGGTCACAGAAAAAACATATGCATAGGTTGCTGGAGAGAGTGCAAGACACAAGCAGAAGCGTTTGTAACGAGAGACGCTTGATTATAGATGATTATAATAGAGGGCAGCTAGAGAAGAAGAGCGAGCAGCAGGAAGGGTAAAAGAAGAAGAAGAAGAAGGGGAAAGCGACAGGTTTGTGTTAGAAAGTTTCGTTCTTCTTCTCCTACTTGTATATGTTCTCAGAATTTACTTTCTAATAGGAACTCTGTAACCCCAAAAAACCAATGAAGCATTTTAGAAGGAAAGTCAGAACATGAAATTTTATTAAAACTGAAAAAGTTTGTAACGAGAGACGCTTGATTATAGATAATTATAATAGAGGGCAGCTAGAGAAGAAGAACGAGCAGCAGGAGAAGTAAAAGAAGAAGAAGAAGAGGGGGAAAGCGACAGGTGTGTGTTAGAAAGTTTCGTTCTTCTTTTCCTACTTGTATATGGTCTCAGAATGTACTTTCTAATAGGAACTCTGTAACCCCAAAAAACTAACGAAGCATTTTAGAAGGAAAGTCAGAACATGAAATTTTATTAAAACTGAAAAAAGACATCGGAATTTTGCTCAATGTTGTACCCAAAATTGGAGAAATGTTTGGATTTTTCATAATAATTGAGATGTGTTTGTTGCTATTTGGGCATCAGTTCAGAATACGTCGGAAACTACATCAACCATTTCCTCATCAGCACCCTCGACGTTAGCACTAGAAGTTCCGACGTCAGAATTGGAGCCTTCGACGTTGGCACTGCAGCTCTCGACAGGTGCATTGGAAGGTCCGGCTTCAGAAGTGCCGGCAAGAGCATCAGAATTCCTTACATCAGAAAGTTTGACGTTAGCACTGGAGCTTCTTGCGATTTCTTTAGAACCCCCACCATTAGAGCATTCTAAGTTAGAATTTGAAGTTACAACTACTTCATTGAAATTCCCGGCATCAAAACATCCAGCATCGGAAGTTCCAGGTGCTTCGGCATCAACAATGGTTGGTTTCTGCATAGCATCCTCTCTCCATGGCATTTCTTCAATGGATTTTTTCACCAAGTCTTGCAAATCAGACTGCCAAGGCTCTGAAACAAATTTTTCTTACAACGAAACATCATTACCTTGTAAACCCAGATTTTGATGGGAATCTCAGCAAAAATACCTTGAAATTTGTGGAAAAAGTTGGATATGAACAATCGTTTTTTTTGAGAAAATGTGTGGAATATAGAATTTTTCCAATTTCAGGTATAGCACAATAAATATCATGTTCACCTTTTAAAAATTTAGAAAATCGTCTTAAAAGATACTGAAACTAATATGACTCAGCTGAATCTGGCAAGAGTTCATTTATTCTGAAATTTTTATCAAAAAAATGGGTTTACGAGGTATTGAGGTTTTGTTTTTTTTTTAGAAAGAAAACTTGCCTATTTTATAATGGCACGCCGTTCTCGGCAAGCTTTTATTTTGCCAAAAAATAATTGGGCTTTGAAATTTTTGAAATAGTCAGGCATTGCCTGTCGCAAACATGGTTATACAATCGTAAAATGGTTAAACAATTACCTTGTGGAGCGCCATGTTTGAAGAAAGTGTTGTTTGTCACATGTTCACGAAGCTTCTCAATGCTGAATACTGCTCTGAGTGGATCGTAGTTGCTAATTGCGTCCATTTCAGCGAGAACCACGGCATTAGTTGTTTTCAATTCCTCCAAGCTCTTCTTTTTGGCGATGTACTCCTTACTGTCTACCATTGGATCATTGGCTAGTTCTTGGGACATTTGGTCAATGCGCTTTCTGTTCGCAAAGAAAATTGCCGATTTATCAAAGAAGGCTTTAGCATCCATGACACCAACATCTTTGGCATCAATATCCATGGCTCCAGTGCCCATGGGACAAACATCCATAGACCCAGAAGTCATGGTACCAGGATCCATTGGACCAGAACCCATTAAAGCAGCACTGATGGGGCCAACATCCATAGGATCAGCATCCATGGTACCTAAAAATTCTTTATTATAATTTTTAAAGTAATTTTGAATAGGGGTACCGTAAAACCTGTATTGGAAGGGTCCACACACTGTCAATTTCAAACTCAGACATCTCAATTCCCATGCAAAATATCAGAAATGTGTCAACTAATAAAATGTTTGTGGTGTTATGATAAAAATTTTATCAATTGACAACTTTTTTCCTATATCTCTGACAGGAACCGAGAAAAATTGATTCAAAGCTAAAAGTTGAAGGGCCTTTTTATTACAGGTCATAGGGTAAGTATGAAGGAATTTAAAAAAGAGAATGTCTGAGAAGAAATGAAAATACGACATGATAACAAAGAGAAAATTGAAGAAAAATAAGAGAAAAACGGAAACAAGAGAGATGAGATTTCCCGAGAGCGAAAAGAGGTGAGACGTCCACTAAAAGAAAAAGAGAGACAAAATATAAATGCATATACATATGAAATCACACAGCTACGTTTCTTCCGCGACGCGCAGTCTCACGCGGAGCGGTTTTTCCAGCCAGCGCTGCGACGTTTCTAGGGAGAGTGAAAAGAAAGAAAAGTGAGAGAGAGAGAGAGAGAGAGAGAATGCGAAATGAAAAAAAAACACTCTCGCTGGAAAGTCGACGTGTCTACGTCTCTCTTGATTTACAAATGACAAACAAAGTGTGCCGAATAGCGGAGTACGGGGGAAAGAAGTGTTCTTTGGTGTTGATGGACTCCAATTATGCGGAGGGAGATGTTTTGAGCTAGCTTTTGTTCAGAATTACTGGAAAAAGGCTTAAAGGAGAGTTTCCTCAATCTGTGTCGGGTTTTTTTCTGAAACTTTAGAAATTTCTAAAATTACCAAGCCGTGCCAAATTTTACCAGACCGGGATTCATGAGGAGTAAAGTGTAAACAAATGCGGCAAAGGACCTGAAAGCGAGTACTTCTAAGATGGCGAGTTACTAGTGTGGTGTGTAATATAGGGAAAAGGGTTATTAGTATCGCACCTATTGTGCAACGGATAAATGCCCTCAAATATGGCAGGTGGTGCAAAAGAAAAAGTGTCACAGGAAGAAGTACTCATCTGTGTTTTGGTAAGCTATGACTAGTTAGGTGGATTCAGAAACATATTTTTAGAGAGAACGGAAATGAAGTTTGGAGGTACTAAGGGAGTATTGACCGCCAATTATTTGAAACTGAACCAAACTATAAGAAGTGGGTTTTGGTAGAGCCACACATGGCTTGTTTATAATTTAAACCTACATAGTGAAATGATGAGCAGTTACCAGGATGGAAAAAATTGAAGTTGAGAAAAACTTTGTTGCAAGTACAAGAAAATGAAATCCCCTTCCCCGATGGTATCTCGAATGATAATGTCACGAAAAATTAATAGGGAGATTTGTGATACAAAAAAAAATCTCATATCACATTTTCTTGAACATCAAAATAGTTTCCCGTTCGAAGATATTTGTTGCAGTTGGTAAACTGTGCAACAGATGAAGACGAGGCTCACGAGAAGCAACATGAAGTTATGACGACTGCGCAGAGTTGTACGAGAGAGTGCAGAGAAAAAATATGGATCGCATTTAGAAGAAAAAATAGTGTGTGGAAGTATGATACTATTTGTCATCATGATTTGAAAGCGGCGGTGAGCACCAAAATATATTAATTGGCGATGACTTGTGTTCGGTGCCTTTTCGGCTACGTTGAAACATCAAACACTTGGGACTCAACAAAACTACTGTGGGCATGGAGAAAGGGAAATCGAATTGATAATCAAGGAAGCTGATTGATTGGACGGCGGTACAACGTCCTCAGTTCGGAGGTTCAAATTACCTGAAAATTTTGAAATTTCGTAGCCCCGACGTGTGATTTTGTACCCCTAAATCACTTTGTACCACCTTGTACTCTCCGAATTATGTGCCTCTTCTGCCACCGTGCTACAGTTGGTAGTAACACAAAATTTAGAACTGTGGTTTCACAAATCCAATTTCTCAAGAAGCCCATGTGAATACAATTTCGAGAAAACTTTTTTCATGTCCTTCTAAAGCACAATGATCAGAGTCGAGTTTGCACAACTTCTTGGTTATACTGTCCTTAATTCATGAAATTGGGGTCATTGTTGAAAGCATATTTGAAGCTGCTTTTTCCCAACGTGTGGTTGAGAATTTTTAAATTTTCAAGAAAATATCCTTTTCATGTTGTTGGTGTATTGTTCGGTTCTCCGGTAATTGGATTGCTGAGTCGTTTCTACGAATGCGTTGAGAAGTTACCGGTCGCTTCAGAATGTCTAAGAACAAAAAAGAGCTGTCATTCCACTTGACAAATAAAGATAATATCTCAACTGCCAATCTTGAGTAACAAACAGTTTTCCGGTGGCCTGTTCTTCGATATGTTGATCTTCGTGTTGAATGGAAATGAGACGTCACTGATATTACTTGGCAGATTGCCTCAACGCTGGAGAAAAACAAAATATCGGTGGTCACTTGAAATGAATGATGAAGATCAAGGCATAGTCTACTCTGGTAGACACCGCAAGGAAAAATGATTATTAAAGCTACGAACCCTAATTAGAGAATATGAAAATATCTGATAGTTCTTATAGCGCCGCAGAGGTATGTCCCTACCTCAAGATGTTCCATAAGGAAAAGTTCCTATCATTATAGAATGGTCAGATCTTAAAAGTTTTATAGTTTTTGAATTATTATTATTATAAAAAAATTCGTGTTTTGCGCAAAAATATTGGCAGAGAGAAAACGAAAATGTTTTAAATTCATGCGTGCCTCCAATGCCCATAATTACGTGGTACGGTACCAATGAAATATGTATTTACTGTAATAGCTGTTGTTGCCTTTGCTGCTAGTCCAGTTATACGCTCGTCGAGAGATTTAATTTAATTTAATTTGTTTATTGATCAGGTGTAATAAAACATTAGAGGGCAAGACATGAAAGACTCAGAAAAAAAATGCCCCTCACGAGTCCGATCTGAGTAGGGGAGGGGAAACGGGATAATTTATATATTTGACACAGGAAAGATGTAACCGGTAGAAAAAGAAAAATAGGGAGCAAATATATCAATAACGGGTAATACTGGAAGAAATTAAGGATTCAAACTCGGAAGGTAGGAGAAATCGGGTAACTTGGGAAGGGAGGTAACTTGGGAAGTGAAGTAACTTGGGAAGTGAGGTAACTTGGGAAGTGAGGTAACTTGGGAAGTGAGGTAACTTGGGAAGTGAGGTAACTTGGGAAAATTTACAAACAATGGTCTCGAAACCTGTTATAGAATAGCCGACACACTTCCAAGATTAAGTTGGTTTTTCTTGTCTCCCATGCAGGTTTTCAAAAACGTGTAGTCTGATGAAATGTTTGTGATATTATTATAACAATTTATCGGTTGCCAGCTTTTAAATGTACTTGTCCAGAATCGAGACATATTGGCTCAAACTTAAAAGGGTTCTTTTATTAGAAGTTTTACAGTAATATCATTATACCACATTCCTTGAAATCTCTATCGAAAATTTCCATACTCGTCCTTCTTCTCACAAGGTGTCTTAAAAGTGACTCTTGTACTCTCTTGAACGTCACAAATCAGAGAATAGAAAAAGGTAATTTTATGGCAGAACTGAAGATCTTATCTTAAAGGACAGTTCCGAAAACGCAACAAGTGTCATCTCGATAATTATTAAAAACGCATTCTTCAGATCTTTATGGCAGAAAATTTGAATTCATGTGATCAGATTGAGTTGGGATTCAACACTTTAATACTGCTTAGTTGTGAATGATGATTTTTAAAACTAAAACTTAACGAGCCAATTTTCAGTAGAAAACTTTTTTAGAAAATGTTTTTCCAGCGAAACATCGTTTTTCAGGCATTCGAGGTATTCAAAAAAAATTATCTCTGCCCGTATGGAAGACATCAAAATTTTGACAACTGATAAAATATTTGAAATAGTATGATAAACAATTCACCAGAAGACAACTTTTTTATATTTTCGACAGGAACCGAGATGAGTTGTCTTGAAGCTAAAGGTCTCGGCCTTTATATTACAGGTTTTACCCTAAGTAAAAACGAGTGATAACCCTCCTAATCTCAACTCTCGTGATAAGCAATCAGTATGCTCGAAAAATCTCAAAACATATGGGTACACGACATCATCGAAACCCTTGACCTAAATAAATTTTGCACTGTTGTTTACAGATTTCTCAACCGACCCAAGGCCTACCGTATTCTCTATCTTCAATTCAGCCATGGATCAAAAAACGCCGTCTTTTTGATAACAAGTAATTTTGGTTCCTAATGTTGTTGTGGTGAAGGCCAAGAACTCAATAGAGACTTGTTTACAATCAAAATGTATCGAAACGTAGAAAACAACGATAAAGTGTTGAGAGTTTATTGGAAAACTGTATTTACAAATACTGAAATCAGGAAAAGGAAATTTTAGAAGTTAAGAAAACTTGTGAGAAGAACGGAAAATAAGTAAAAATGAAGATCTGGTGGAAATAAATAAATTCTGAATTTCAAATTTCAAGAAAAGATGAGTTTAGAAAGTGTACAAAGTTTGTGATATTCTAGGAATTGCTTGAGGAGGTGCCTGGCGATGTACTTGCTGAGGTGGTTGCGGAGGTCCAAAGAATTCCACTGAGTTTTTGTTATTTTCGTTCATTGCTTTTTGAGCTGAAATAATAATTTTTTGTAATAATCCCGGAGCCCCTTGATCTTACGAAATTCTAAAACGGTTGGATTGGCATCTAATTGCTGCAACAATTTTTTCTCAGCCTCAATTTCTCTTGACTTTACCACCTCGTTTCCTAAAATAGAAGATATGAGAGATGGGGGAAAGACGAGTGAAGGTGAAAAGAGGTTTTCAACCTTGCACTTTTGAAGAAAACATACAGTACCGGTCAACAAAATATTCAAAAACGTCTTTGTCAGTTTTTTCAGGTATTTGCAGGAGTCTGATGCTCGCCTGTCAAGTTTCTGAACCTTCAGAAAAATTTGATAAGTGTAAAACAGACCTAAATTGATAATTTTGCGTTCACAGAATTTATTGAAAATTCCTAGCTTTTCAGCTATTTGACGATTTCTTAAAAACAGGAGAGTTTCACGTTTTCAGAACCAAACGTACCAAAAAAGTGGGCTTTCAGATATCGGGAAATATCTGAAAAACTAGAAATTTTTGCAGTATTCTGTAAATGCGAAGTTTTCAATCTAGGTTTGTTCTACACCCTACAACATTTCAAGCTGATCAAAGGCATGCCAGACAAGCTCCAGACTCCTAAAAATTGTCAAAATTGGCAAAATTAAACTGAAAAATGCGTTTTTGTATGTTTGATTGACCAATGTTCCACTTTTGTGTCAAAACTCCAGCTCACCTATTGCTTCTTTTTCTTGTTGTTCTTTGATAAACTTCTGAAGTGCGACATCAAAATTATTCGCGGAGAAACACGGCATGAACTGAAAACAAATTATTCTGAAAGTCTTTAAATTCCAGATTTCCCAGGTTTCCGATGCATCTTGAAACCTAATTGGCTCATTCATAGAAAAACGAAATTTCATTTGAAAAGGAAAACCTTTTTAAGCGAATTCGTCTCACATAACATTGCGGAAAGCCGTGACGTCTTAAAAGGATGTGCAATTCAATAAAGTTCCCTTTTTTCTGGTTCTCTTTTTTTGCAGATTTCCCTCTTTTTCTTTTTTTTTCTCAGAGTTTTTCAGTTTTGGTGTATCTCTTTTTTCTCCGCTTCTACCTGAATTATCTCATTACACCCGCTGCAAACCCTCTGCCGACTCGTTGTACTGGTTTGTTCGTCGCAATGTGTCCATTCACTCCACTCGGACGTTACCGACCCGATGCCGTGTTGGCTATCTGCGCGAGGTGATCTTGTTTTTCGCAATTTATCTCTGCGAGTAAAACTTACCTGCCGTAACCGGTTTGTTGTCGAAGGGATAGGGTGGGCTGTGTGGTCGACCTCCTGAAAGCAAGCAAAACCTCAAGAATGATGGATGAACGTGCATTCTAGATAATCGCAACCGACAAGTTGTAGTAGGTAGTAGTAAGAGGAACTAAATTCTAAATGAGATAAATAGAATGGGTGTAACTAAATTCCGATATCTTGCGATAAATCGTAGAATATGATGACGGAATTGGTAGTAAAGATCAAGAACATTGGATACGGTATTTTTTCAATGGCTTGGTAATTGGGGACAAAAAAACACCATTAATACAGTAATCAGATGATCTACTTCCGCTGATGATGATAAGAGAAAAAGCTCAAGAATCACAGAAATCCATAGTTGCGATTATTGTAGCAAAACTGAACCGTTCTATTCATCACGTTCACTGTATTTTCCCTAATAGAAGATCACCCTCTATGTGCACTTTGATCTTAATTATTTCGTTTCTTTTGAGAGGTGTCAAAAATAGTCAACTGATGAAATGTTGGCGATAATCTGATAAATAATTTATCAGTTGACAATTTTTCGTATTTTTACAGGAATCGATATAATAGAGCTCAAAGTTGACGTGTTGGGTAGGCTTCTATTACAGAAAATGCGGTATTTTGTTTTTTGCATACTTGCAACGGGCCGGGCCGGGCTGAATTGTAAATTTTGAATGCTGGATTGTAAATATTGAATTTTCAATGGTTAAACAAAATTTTTAAAAATAATTTTTTCCGGAGGTGGGATCGGACTGAAAATTGCATTATTGAAGCAAAATAACATTTTCCTCTCAAAAACTAGTTTTTTTTTGAAAACTTTCAAAAATTTAACAAAAAAAATTTTTGCCGGGCCGGGCCGGGCCGGGCCTTCAACGATTTTTGCAAATATGATTTTTTGTTAGATTTTATCGAAAAGCTTTAATCAACAAAAAATTGGTGACGATAAGAAAATTTTTTATCAGTTTACCATCTTTTGCCATTTTTTACAAAAGCCGAAAAAAACTTGGATAAGTTTGATGGAAACTTTTATTACAGAGTTAACGGTATCAGGAATCAGGAATTTTTGAAATGAACTTTTCGTAATTTTCCGGACCATTGAAGGCTCTAAATTTCGAAGTGTTTTTTTTATTTCAGAATGTTCCTGTTTCGAAATTTTCAGAATTTGGGAATATTCCAATTTCGAAAAAATTGCAATTCTAATTTTCGAGTAGAAACCCCACTATCATATCAGACAATCGGTGAAAAATTTTGCGAACATTGTTCTCTTTTAACATACCGTAGTCCAAAAATGTCCAATTCCAAAATAAAAAATTTTGGAATTATTCCAGGCTTTACTTTCAAAAATTTTCGGAATTTTCGGAATTTTTGGAATTCCGATTTTTGTTCCAAAAGTTTTTATTGTTTCAACATATCTTTTATTACAAGATATACGGTAGCAGGAAAATAACATAACGTTTTTTTAGAACTTCAAAAGATCCCTACCCTATGAGCAATCCCTCCAAAAAGTAATTTTACGCGAAAGTCAAAAATAATGCTCTCCACAAATACTCCAACAATGTAGTTTTCGTGTGACCTTAATCCCTTGAGAAATTTCTCACGCCGGGCTTCACACTTTCTCAATCCTAATCTCTACCCTATAATTGGCGCATTCGTATATTTTTCATACTTCATTATTAGCTTTTAGTATTTTGTTTTTGACTATTTTCGACATTTGAACTGATATGATTTCATATTTTATAGGCACACTTTGAGTGTTTTCTGTCATTAGCGCTCGCTCTTTTTTCTACCTCTACCTACCTAAAGCCGAACTAGTGACACATGATCCGAGCTCAACATAATCCACTTTATAAGCCAGTTCTGGTGTGAAATATTGATTTTTCGTGTGCCGCGTATGCACGTTCAGGATGCAGTTGAGTGATGCAAAGTCCGGATAATGGAGAACAGAATGGCACGCGACGGACCGCATGGTCTGAAAAGGTTACTGTATATAATTAACTGCAGGCGAAACCATATGTTTCGCTTTCTTCTTTTAACAAATTCTCGAAAAAAACGGTTTTCTCTCAAATGCCGCTGATTGCTATCTAAAACGTTTACCTTCGCTTTAATGCATTCCAAAACGCATTCGTTTTCACTTGCCACCGATATAACTTCAGATGCGTGGCCTAAAATTCTTTTTTTTTCAATTATTTTTTCCTGATAATCTCAATACCTAAAAGTATGTGTTGTGGGATTCTTCGGAAAACGTCATCACAGGACATGGGTAGTACGGTATCTGAAACATTTAATTTTCGTTCTCTTTCACTTTGTTCCGCTCATTATTTTCACGGTAATTTACTACTTGTTGCTTTTTATTACTTTTCGTTCTGATAAGATAAGCCCCAAATTTATCACCTGTCGTTTTTGAAATTTACGACCCCAGGGGAGAAAAAAAAAAAGTTAAAACAGAGAGGGAGAGAGAAAGTGAAAGCACAGCGGCGGAATGAGAAGTTTTTTTTGAACTTCTCTTATTTTCTACTTTCTCTTTTCTTTTCAAGTATTTCCAACTCACCGGGAATACAAATTTTCTCAATATAGATCACATTTTGATTCGGCTTGTACTCAAGATATCCATTCGGGTTTATAGCATCGGAGTACACCGAACATTGCCTAGTTTGACGATTGAAATGAGCTGAACGACAGAGAAGCGGCAATCGAGAAGAATCGGCATACTGTAATTGAGAAATTACTTCCCGGTTTCCGAACTTTGTTCTTTCAAAAATGCAACGGTTTTTGCCTTCCACGATTTACCGTATTCATCTAATCGGCGCGTATCTTCTTTTTCTTTTTTTCGTTGCCCAACAAAATAAGTTTCATCCGTGTCATAGATCAAAAGAAGATGGTAATTGACGTAACGCATTTAGAAAAGAGGCCTCTGCTAAGAATCTACAGTAACCCGAAAGAAAGAAATCATCTGTGGGCATCTGTGGGAAGCTAAGTATGTTATAAATATGACTCGAGCTAAGTAATAGGGTTAATTTTACGAACTTGTTTAAAAAAAGTTACTTCTCAAGGTTACAACAAAATAAAAGTGAAACGCTCAGAAAAAAGTAATTTTGGAACTTGCAACAGGCTTTTTTCAAGATTTTAAAAGTCCAGCCCGAGTTTGAAAAAATATTTGGCTTGCTAAAATTTTTTGATATCATGAAAAGTTTTAACAACATTTTCCAAAAAAAAATTGTTTCTGAAATTTAAAATTGTTTTCCAAATGACTTTGACAATATTGAATCTTTGTTATTAGACTTTAAAATCATAGACTGCACAAATTCCAGCCGAATTTGATTTTGCATAAATGCGCAAATTGAAAGCTACCATATCCCATAGAACCTGTAATAGAAAAGAACTTAACTTTTAACTTCGAGCAAATTAATCTCGGTTCCTGTGAAAGATATAAAAAAGGTTTCAACTGATGAATTGTTTACCGATACATAAAAAAAAATTATTATTTAGAAAAAATTCTTATTTAGCAAATTTTTATACCTTGCACATGAGCCAAGATAAATGATCTCAAACTTGGCAGAATCTGTTTTTTAAAAGTATTACGGCATCTGTACTTTAAGCTCAAATATCTCAGTTTTGATACGTGAAATCAAAAATCTGTCAACTAAGAAGATGTTGGTGATTTTACGAAGATGTTGGTGATTTTAATATATGACATTTCCTCAGATAGATGTCGTTAACGTTGAGCTCAATTATCTCCATTCTTGCGTAAAACATCCAAAAATGTCAACTGATGAGTTATTCATCATAATATGAGCAATATTTTATCAGTGGACAATATTTTGATATCTTTTATGGGAACCGAGATAAATGAGCTCAACGTGCACGAATAGTTACACCTGCTCTAAATTTATTTAGTGGCCAGATATTGAGTGAAAACAATATGTGTCTTAAACCCTCATTAGGAGAATACGGTACTGTACAAAATTCAAGACATGACCCAATTAGTCTCTGTTCTCTCTATGTGATCCTTCTTCCACTTACTGTGCTGACCCGGCACGCCTGCACACACTGTTCAAGAATCGCCACCGGAAACGTGATCGTTGCTTCTCGTGATACCTGAAAAACACCGCCCACTACTATGAAATCTGATTAGTTACTAGAAATGACCTCGACGCCTTCAATTACTTGTATCCGAGAGTGTTCTCCAATTGGGCAGTCGGGAACGATGGGCAGGACCTAAACCGTTTTACGTTTCAACTCCGCCCCCGAAAAGCCTGTATAAAAACCAACCTCGACGGCAAAGTTTCGTAGTGTGTTATCAAACTGGTGATTACTACTAATACTATCAACTGCTGCATCGGCGGCCATCCCGGCTGCCATCTTTGGTGCTTTCCAATCTCCCTCGGCGACACCAATCGCATTGCTCACTATCTCAAACTGGTCTCCTCCCAGTTTTTTGATCTTTATATTCTGAAAAAGTTTTGTATGTTTCCAAAGAGACGAGTTTCAGGAAGTCATGGCTCCACCAAACTGTGAACAATCTAATGTTTCAAAGATTGCTTCTGAAGAGGCAAAAGATCAAGTTGCGGCCGAGGAGATGGCCAATCTCGACCTGGCTCGAGCAGCCTTTGGAGAAGTTCGTCGAGGAAATGACCGTTATCTCCATGCTATTCTTGAAGATGATGAGACTCGAATTCCAGAAGGAAGACCAAGAGCTGGTAATTTTTTAAACTACTATTCAGTGGAACATTTTGAGGTTAAGCTACCATTGCCACCGTCTCAAGAGATGCTCCAGCTAGCGGAGATCAATCCAATGGATTGGAAGACTCAGGAGTCGATGCTCCTCTCATTGGCCACCGTCCTCGCTCGTATTCGGTCCGCGAGAGACCATCTTGGCTGAGTAAGGATCTTCGTACAAGTACCGTATACCAGTATCTTAATTTTTGATCTTCACATACTGGTTTAAACCGCGCATCGCATCTCATGCCACTTAAATCTAGGTCAACCGTTTTCGCAACAGGTAGTCTTATCAAATCGCTTCTGTGCATCGAGTGAAAAGTTAGAAGAAGACACCTTACGTGCCTTATCAATCGAAACTAACTGATACGTTTTGATTGATAAGATATCTGCAAAAACGAACTGAGTGGGTGGCCGAAGGTTGGTCGTTCAGCGGGCCGATCATGATTTTGCTGCCTAACGAGACTAGAGTGTTTTGCGCGCAGAAGTTCAAGAATCAAATGAATTAGTGGCACGAGATGATGTGTAGAAAGATTAAAGTTGAGGATGTGATACTTTAGAATAGTTTTCAAAAACAAATAGAGAGTTAGTTCATTTAGAAATATACTATCTTTTCAGAGAAAAAACCCAGACCATCCAACACATCTACGGAAAATGCCAATGAACCACAAAAACGCGAGCCTGCCCCATCAACATCTTGCTGCGCTGGTACTCATGATTTTGGTTTGTGAAATTTTTTTTGAGAATTTATTATTTGCTATAGGATCAATAGTCGCGCATCCAATAATGGCAGCGGTCCTCTCAAACACAGTAAATTTGGACTGCTTCCGACGTCATTTGGATAATCCAGAAGGTCGAGAGAAACTTCAAAAAATGGCTGAAAAAGCGTTCCCATCATGCAGTCACTCTCACTCATGGCTGCCAGAACTTCCAAATGGATTATCCGACGTTCTGCCAGAAGTTGAGCAGTCAGCAGCTCGCCGAGAATTGCCAGTATTAAGCCCAGCTGAACAACTGGCCCTCGCTGCTAGCGACCAAAGAGCTTTGTTCTACATAGAGACAGGTCTCAGGGCAATTCTCGAGTCATCAACATTGCAAAACCCAACCTCAGGTAAGTATGAAGCAGTTTGAAAACTTACTGGTTTAGGCGTTTGAGGGGTAGCAAGTGCTGTAGGTAATTGTCCTGTGAATGTAGGTGACTGTACGGGTTGGAGGTCCACAAGTTGAGAGGTGTTTGGTGGAATTCGAATATTAACCAACTCTGATAGGCAATCCCATTGAGGGATGAGATGGGTGGTTCCGATAGTTGGGAGTAGCGAAGCTATCGCGCATTCGGTATTTCTAGAAATTCGAAAGTTTTGAAGAGGGTCCCGTAAAACCTGTAATAGAAGGGTCCCCTAACTTTTTGAATTAGAGCCAGTTTATCTCAATTCCCTTTGAAGAACTGGTGAACTGTTTATCATGATTTCACAAACATTTTAACAGTTGACATATTTCAAATATATTTTACAGGAATCAAGATAACTGAGCTCAAGTTTCATAGTGCCGTTCTATTACAGGTTTTACTGTGAGCAGGTTGAGGAAGGTTGTACAGATGGATATGATTCATAGTGCCTACAGTAACCCAAACAAAAAACTCACCCCAATGCAATTTCTCTTTTCTTCAAAGCCTCTGAAGCTGAAAGAAAAATCAAATTTCACCCATTTCCAATACTTCTCAAACTTACTCGTATCATTCATTTTCAATGGTGAAGGCACACTAAAAATCTCACAAACATTACGATAGTAGTCATACTGAACGGTTTGGCATTGAGTGTTGTAACGTATACACGCCGATTCGCATGCGTCTAGTGTAATTGAAGTTCTAGAACGAATTTATCAATATGATACGCCTATTTATCACTTACAATGTCTCAATAGATTTTCCGCAAGATATTCGAATGTTTTTGTGGCTCATAAAACATTTCTTTTTCTGAGCAATCGCTAGTACAAATAGTAGAAAAATTGGCAACAAGTTCATGATTATTAACCAGAAGGGGGAACAGTGTTACCGACTGGTCAGTCTGCGGCTAGCCACCGTCCACAAGCGGGTCGGTGCATTTTAAGAGGATTACACTACGGATTACGGTCACTGGTTATACATAGAATACCCGGCTAGGTAGGCTTGTTCAGCGGATATAGCAAAAACTAGATCATGATACCCTTCAAAATTTATTTGGAACTTATACTTTTCAAAAAAAATTGTCAAGAGGGTTTTTACAGGATCTGGAACTCAATTGGTAAGACCTGCGGCATACAGAATGGAAGGATTCTCATCATCTATGCAATACTGGGGATACGTGTGCCCGATGGATGAATTTTGTTACCGAAAAGTCCCAATTCAGCCAGCTATTGAAGCGCCAAAAAATGAGAAGGATCGACAAAAATAAATTTTCCTGAAATGTTCATTTCTTGATCTTCTTCTTTTCAATTTTCTCGTTCTACCATTTTCTTTAAGTTCTGTATTTTATCTCTTTTTTAATTTATCATCTTTTCTTCTGTAATATATTTGTGTGTCCGAGTTGCTTACATTTAGATCATTTTGTACGATGTAGAAAAATGTATAATCCTTTATTTAATAGTAATAATAATAAATGAAATAAAATATCAGTTGTTTTTCTGTGGATCAAAAAGTGGAATCACAAACTACTATGCACTGCATAAAATACTGTAACCATTCTTATAGAATGTTTTCCAAACCGTCAGCTTTGAGCCCATATATCACATTTCCTGTGGAATATATAAAAAATGTGGTTAACTTATCAATTATTAAGTATACAATCAATAATATGTCAGTTGAGAATTTTTTAAATATCTTCGGGAAGAAACAAGAAAACATAGCTCAGAATGAAAGGTTAGGAGACTCTTCTGCTACAGATATTACGGTATCTCGCATAGTTGGAATGTACAAAGCATGTTTGATTGAAAAGCAGAATCTGTAATTTTGTTTAGTACACTATAAAATTACCTCAACGGTGAACAAGTTATTACCTGAAAAAGTGAGTGGTCCGATAAAGCTGAAACGCGACATATCCCATTGGAAAAGTTAAATTTTTTTATGGCCGGTACTGTACACGTGTTCCTCACGTGTTACCAAATCGCATACATTCATGTTCTTCAAAATTACATTCAATAGTGGAACAGGATAACCTATGTATGCCGGAACATCACTACTTCATAATTTTCAATTCGAGAAAAATTAAAGTAGATAAAGAAACATTGAATGCTGTCAAAATCGCTTTCCCTGCCCTAATAGAATTTTTCAATGCAGAATGCAACCCTGAATCTGCGTCTTTTATGCATATCAACAGAAATGGAAATCCCCCAAGAAACTATTTTCACGAAAATATTCATAATCCCCGCAGGTCCCATTATCCTCCTCCTTCCTAATAGCTAATATTGTTTTTGCTGCTCCAATAATTCTTCCCCCTGCCTCTTTTTTTCTCACAATATATTTTTGCGCGTGCTAAACAAGAAAAAATTAATCCCCGTATTGGGATTATCCGATAATTTGTCTCCTATTCATCTTCGTGGAAGAGATTTATTGCATGCACTTCTTTTGTCCTATAGAATTGTGCTCAAGGCAAAAAAGAGCAAAAGGTACACATCATTATATAGAGATGGATATCTATTTTTCTATGTTTTCGCGTGAAAAAAAAACGCACTTTTGAAATTCTCCAATCTCGACGTATATAAGAAGAGAGGGTGGTGACGTGAGAAAACTCATTTTTGAGAAGCGACCTTTTCATTTTATTCTTATCGGGGCGCGACTTTGCTTGAGCCCCTCTTAGTGAACCACTTTCAATTTTCTTGAGAGTTATCCCAAAAAGTTATTTTTGAAAGTGCTAGGGGAATATTTAGAAGAAGTGAACTCTGTTTCTCAATATTTGGAATCTTTTGAGTCACGTTCTAGAACATTCGAACAAATTTTTTTGAAATGAAAAATAAGCACTTTTATTTTTGAATTTGTTTTGAACCTGTTGAGTCACATTTTAAATCATTTTAGCTAGTTTTATTTTTATATCTCATCTACAGGAAATACAAAATGATGAAATCCAAAATCCACCATTTAAGATGTTCACATTTTCCTTCATAACATACGAGTGTAATGAATAAATATGACGAAATCTGGAATTATCCTAGAAAAACTTTCAGACGGTTGATCTCAAGATTATCCGAACGCTTTGGAAAAAGGATTTTCTTTCTATCATCATATCATGAGAATTCTGTAATAACCAACCAGAAGACTTTCATCAGAGGCTTTTCAATCAGACTGCTCTTTATTTTCTTGATATTCATCATCCAAGGATTATTCATCCCTGACATTTTTGTTGGCTCTTTCATATTTTCGTACAGCACATTAATATTTTTTTCGGTCTGTTAAATTTAACCCAAAAAATCACGCGCGGTTAAATGAGTTCTAGCAAAAAATCTAATCAGCACACCCTCAAATGGATATAAAAGTATAAAACATGAGCTCAACTAATCAAATTTGAATTTGGAAAAAAACGTATCTAGTACTTTTTCTGCGATTTCGTATAGCTCGTTAAAAACACAATTTTCTGGTCTAGGTTGTGATTCTGGAACGTGAGTTTTGCTGTTTGTATCATTCAATTTGTTAGTAGTTTCTGATTCAAACGGTTTTGAAAATACAAAAAATATTTAAAAAGGCAGTATTCGTCCCTATCATTGACGAAAGAAAACGTACTATTCACTACATTCCTACTGTTCTGACATTATAATCCGCTCAGGTCCCCGGCACCAAGACTTCGAAACTCCGCCCTTGCGCCAGTTACTACTGTATCCTCAGCTGGAGTGTATATAAACCCCTGAGAGTTCAATTCGAGCCATTTTTCTCTTGATTTGAGTTCTCCTTTTCTGTTGGCGCCAGTTCGTAGACTGGAAATTAGCGGGGGCACTGATAAGCGTGGGTTTCCGTTGTCCTTTCCCATTCCCAACTATTTTTCACGAAAAGTCACAAGTTTCGGAGAGAGTGGTGCCATGGCACCGTCGTATCTGGCTCTTTGAGACCGGAAGGAAACAAAAAAAGTTCTAGAGGCGGGGTCTGGTGGTGAAAGTTTTTATCAACCATTTCGAGCTCAGTAACAATTGGGGGTTGATCTTTTTTGATTCCTAGAAAATAGATCGGTCACGCTGTTGCCCCCTCACTACCTCGGATGCATGGTGCAGGTAGTAGGCAAGCTTCTCTAGAAATTGGGTTAAAGTGGAAATTATGGCTTTTCAAACTTCTGAATATTCAAGTTTTTAGAAATAAATTTTTTTCTAAACATCAATTTTTATAGAAGCCTAAAATGACTTACTGTGAACGCGCTAATAGAAACCCATCCTATGCGTGCATTTTGAGCTCAATTATCTCGATTCCTGTGAAAGATATCAGAACAATGTCAACAGAGAAAATGTTTATAAACACGCAAATTATATTTTTTCTATTGACTGCTTTTTGATATCATTCATAAGAAACGAGATATATTTATTTGAAGTTGACTGTTAGAAGTTATCGTTCTTTCTCTAATAGACGCTCACAAAACCGTCAACTTTGAGCTCAATTATCTTTCTGCCTGTGACAGATATCGAGACTTTGCTAGCAGGTTTGGTTATTTTTTTTTTTGATATCTCTTGTAGGAACCGAGATAATTGAGCTCAAAGTGCAAATTTATGATGGGCCATTTACTGTTTTTGGATCAGTGAAGATAATGTTACAATACGATTTATTCCAGATTCAGTCATCACCAACTTGTAGGAAAATCATTGTATAATACCTTGAAAGAAATTCATTTTTTGAGATATTTTCTTCAAACATCAATTCCGACAAAGGCCTAAAATGGCTTATCCAGTTTGAATTAGCTGAAATGTTTTCCTATGTTGAATTTTGTTGAATTTTGTTGAATTTTGATGTTGAATTTTGATGAAAAGATTCAAGTGCTACAGTATCTGAACTTAGTCTACATATTTCCCTCCCATTAGAAGCGCCTCAGAGATTTATATTTTAGACTCTCAACAACAGTAACCCCATCGTACTCCTTACTCATCAACTAAAAAATTCTGAGTGTTTCGAGATACGAAAGAAGATAGATAATCTATTCTGGTTGCTCGAAACATGTCATCTCGTACATCAGCCTTCTCCTTATCTCTCTTCATCTTATTCCTCCTGTGGAGACTAACCAAATGTGCTCTTTGCATCAAGACCACCCTTTTCGTCGCCTTTTCTTGTCCTTCTTTTTCTCTTTTCTTTCTAGAAGAAGCAAAAACTTGCCTGCGGGTGCCCGTCGAATCTCCGGAAACATTCTCAGTCAAACTTGACTTATTCACGAATCCTGCCCTTGGTTTCCGGCGCGACGAGGTTCACCTCTTCCGTTTTTTTTTTCGCTTGCTCAGGTTTCGCTTTTTTTTGTTGTGTTTTTTTGATCCGAAACCTTTTTTTCACACCCTAACAATCTGAGAAATTTAAAGAGTTTGGTTTCTCACAGAGATTAGAAATTCCAGATTATAAGATCCCTCTATTTCTATATTTCCCACTTTGCAAAAAAAGCGGAATCATGATTTCCGATTCTTGGAAAAACGCCTCGTCAATTTTTGTTGTTTTTTTCATTGATAAGGACTTTGCCATTTCTTCATCGTATCATTACATTTTTTCCCTTTTCTGAACTCATCAAAAATCAAGTGCAAACCACAAAACCAACATTACCTTCTCAATTTTGGCTACTCAGTGAACGGAAGGAAAGGGCAATGTCTGCAACAGCAGCCTACGGATTAGTTGATCCTGATGGAAACCATACTATACGAATACCTTTTTAGAATCTAGTGTATGGTGTGCTCGGATTAAAGTGCACTCTTTAAAGTTTCTTCCTAATCTCCTAGGGGATTTGAGGAGGATGATGATTTGTTGAACAATCAGCGGATAAGGAATTTGTGATAGATCAACTACAGAAAGAAAAAATTCGAGAAAGGTTATTATTAGAATAAGGGGAGGGGGTGATTTAGATATGGCTTCCTAATAGGCGGATTACTCTGAATTTTACCAAAGATTGTTGTGTATATAATTAACCACGTCTAATTATTATTTTCCTGAAGTCCTGTGCTTGCCATTCTCATCGATCTGTCTCTTGGTAAGTTTCCAGAAATCTCTAATTCTTGATTTTCAGAAAAACTTGACACAAATATATTTATATATAAATAACTTCATATCCGGATTCACCTGCTCCATTACCCTTCCAGATTAATTTCGAGATTTTGAGGTAAGTCTGATTTGTGGATTCTTGAGCAGATCTACAGAACCGGCCATTAAGATACGCAAAAAGCCTTTTTGAATTGATTTTTAGCCTATCGGGCCATTTTCAGGAGTCTAAAGTTTGGTTGTAAAGTTTCTGAT